TTTTTTTTATTTTCACTTTCAGCAGACTTGAAAAAGATAGCTTGCCAGGCAAGGTAACATACGCCAACTGGCAGCTGTCAGAAGGGATTAAACAGTCTTTAGTGACTACAGGGTTGCACAATATAGCTAATAGAGTGAAACGTCAAGTCAGACACGATATTTCAGTGAAATATTATCCGATCATCGCGAAAATGGATAGGGATCATCTTCATAATGACATTGACATACAAAATAAAAATCAAAAGAATCTGTAAACAATTGTAGCCTGTAGAGTGAGCACGAGTTGCACAATATAGCTAATAGAGTAAAATGTCAGGTCAGACACGATATTTCGGTGAAAAATTATCCGATCATCATGAAAATCGATAGATCAACATGAAAATCAATAGGGATCATCTTCATAACGACATAGACATACAAAATAAAAATCAAAAGAATCTGTAAAGAATTGTAGCCTGTAGAGTGAGCACGAGTTGCACAATATAGCTAATAGAGAAGATCGTCAAGTCAGACACGATATTTCGGTGAAAAATTATCCGATCATCACGAAAATCAATAGGGATCATCTTCATAATGACATTGACACACAAAATAAAAATCAAAAGAATCTGTAAAAAAATTGTAGCCTGTAGAGTGAGCACGAGTTGCACAATATAACTAATAGAGAAAAACGTCAAGTCAGAAACGATATTTCGGTGAAAAATTATCCGATCATCACGAAAATCAATAGGGATCATCTTCATAATGACATTGACACACAAAATAAAAATCAAAAGAATCTGTAAAAAATTGTAGCCTGTAGAGTGAGCACGAGTTGCACAATATAACTAATAGAGAAAAACGTCAAGTCAGACACGATATTTTGAGAAAAATTATCCGATCATCACGGAAATCAATAGGGATCATCTTCATAATGACATTGACACACAAAATAAAAATCAAAAGAATCTGTAAAAAATTGTAGCCTGTAGAGTGAGCACGAGTTGCACAATATAGCTAATAGAGAAAAACGTCAAGTCAGACACGATATTTCGGTGAAAAATTATCCGATCATCACGAAAATTAATAGGGATCATCTTCATAATGACATTGACACACAAAATAAAAATTAAAAGAATCCATAAAGAACTGTAGCCTGTAGAGTGAGCACGAGCCAAATGTGAACTGACGGACCGACGGGGGGATTACAATATACGCCCATCTTACGTGTGGGCGTATAACTAGTCTATTGATCCCGAAAATACACCTTTTGATGGAAAAGGCATTAATTTGATTGGTTAATGCAGGTTAGTTCAATAGATTAATTTGACAAATGTTCAAGACAACAGTCATAAGACCCTACTGTGAACTGTGATAATATGCCCACTTGCAGCTTTGATTTTAAATATATTTGGCAGTACAGCAACAATTAACAGTATGAAATATTCAACCTTCAGTCTTACACTTCTTTCCAACTTTTAAGGGGGATACTGTATAATATTACCAAGTTTCGTCAATATCTGTCAAGAATTGGGCCTTCTAGAGTGTTTACAGGCTAAAAGTTGAACACATTTTTAAGAACAAGGGCAATAACTCAAACTAAATATTTTCGATTCTTCTGATTTTCGATAGGGTTCATCCTTGGATGATAACAAACACTCACAGCAAGTTTCAACAAAATCCATAGAGTTTTTATGGGCTAAAAATTGAACATGTTTTCAACTCTCACACCAAGTTTCGTCAAAATCTGTCAATTATTCAACCTTCTCAAGTGTTTAAGAGCTAAAAATTTAACATGTTTTCAATAACAAGTGCAATAACTCATACTAAACATTTTTTCGATTTTTCTGATTTTCAATCAAGAGTTATGCCTTCTAGAGTGTTTATGGGCAAAATAATCTCAAGAACAATTACTCATACTAAATATTTTTCGATTATGTGATTTTTGAGTTATTGCCCTTGACTTTGTTCAAACGATTCGAAATTTGTTAAAAATAGTTTGTGAGCAGGATTGAAGCTACAGTTCTCAACTGATTCTGATGAAACTTGGTGGGATCATTGGAATTGATAAGATCTCGGACAAGTTCTAACTTGATGCATTTTCGATGAATGGTTTTTGAGTTATTGCCCTTGACTTTGTTAAAATGTGTCAAAGTTTATTCGTGAGCACAATAGAAGCTACAGTTTTCAACCGATTCTGATGAAACTTGGTGTGATCATTGAAATTGATAAGATCTTGGACAAGTTTTAACTTCAAGCATTTTTGCTGAACGGTTTTTGAGTTACTGCCCTTGACTTTGTAAAAACGCCTCAAAATGTGTTTGTGAGCACTATAGAAGCTACAGTTTTCAACCAAATTTGATCAAACTTGTTATGATCATTGGAATTGATAAGATCTCGGACAAGTTCTAACTTAAGGCATTTTCAATAAACACTTTCGGAGTTATTGCCCTTGACTTTGTAAAACGCTTCAAAATTTGTTTGTGAGCACCATAGAAGCTACAGTTTCAACCAATTTTGATGAAAATTGGTGTGATCATTGGAATTGATAAGATCTCAGACAAGTTCTAACATGAGATATTTTTGATGAACTTTTTTTGAGTTATTGCCCTTGACTTTGTAAACACGCGTCAAAAGTTGTTTTTTGCCCTTGATTAGAGCTGTGTGATTTAATTGTTTGTTGTATTTGGGTTATTGATATTGATTTTAAAAAATTTTGTGGAATTACTCAGCATAAATAACTGGCATATATATATGTAATTGAATTCAAACTAATAAAATTTCTTCAATATGAGAAAATTCGTACTTTAGTCACTAAAGACTGTTTTATCATTTCTGACAGCTGCCAGTGGGCGTATGTTACCTTGCCTCTTTACCTTGCTATCTTTATTATAAGTTATTGCCCTTATTCTTGAAATCGTAAAAGCTCTAGAAGGTTGAAAACCAAAATGATTAAACAGCTCATTTTCATGGGACAAAATATTCAGACGTATATTATTGACATTATTTTCACTCCAATCAGTTTTGATAATAGAATGTACATTGGATTTTTCTAATTTTCGATAGGGTTTATCCTTGGTTGATAACAAGCACTCGCACCTAGTTTCGTCAAAATCTGTAAAGAATTGCACCTTCTGCAGTGTTTACGATCATTTCAAGAACATGGGCAATAACTCATACTAAATATTTTTCCATTTTTTCTGATTTTCATTAGGGTTCATCCTTGGATGATTACAAACAATCATACCAAGTTTCATCAAAATCAGTCAAGAATTGTGTCTTCTAGAGTGTTTACGAGCAATTGTGGCCTGACGGATGGACAGACGAGCATGGGTGACGACAGTATTTAGGCGTATGAAAAAAGGAATTGAAAATTCGGTCTAACTTTTCTTAGACTGTAGACACTACAGTTTTTAAAGAGAACAATTTCCATGAAACCAATCAAATAGATATAAACAAAATTTTTCAAGCCCACTGATACTCGCTAACTTTCATTCAAATCATCTATTCATCATCATTATAGTAACAAGTCTAAAGATTTCAAGATCCTGTGAACGACGATACTAAGGGAGATTCTTGAGAGGTATCAAAAGCTCCATGTTGCTGAAATCTCTGCTAAAGACAATTCGAATCTTTTGCCATTACCATATTTCAAGTCTACAAATCATCTACAGATGAAAAACTTGCACAACAGAAAGAACATGCTGTAAAGTATCAAACTGAAACACATATAGTACATAAGCTGGCGAATGCGGAATGTTGCTGCACATAAAAGGAAGATAGCTTGTCAGGCAAGTTACATACGCCCACTGGCAGCTGTCGGAAATGATAAGACAGTCATTAGTGACTTAAGTATGAATTTTCTCATATTAAAGAAATTTTAATAGTTTGAATTCAATGATATATATATTTACTGCCAGTTATTCATGCTGAGAAATTCCACCAAATTTTTAAAAATCAATATCAATAACCCAAATACATCAAATTATCTCATTAATATAAATGATCACACAAAATTTCATTAAAATCAGTTGAAAACTGTAGTCTCTATTGTGTTCACAAACAAATTTTGACGCGTATACCTAAGTCAAGGGCAATAACTCAAAAACCGTTCATCAACAGATCGTCGAATTCAAACTTGACCAAGATCTTATTAAAATGATTGATCACTACAAATGTCATTAAAATCAGTTGAAAACTGTAGTCTCTGTAGTGTTCACAAGAAATGTTGACGGACCGACGGACCGAGGCGACGGCAATATACATCCACATTTCCATGTGGGCGTATAAAAATTTACGATCATCAACCTTTTATATAATTTTACAGAAAATCTCTTTTTTGTCATATTCAAGATGCAGATCCAAATAGGATGAGTAATTTTCGTAATCGGTTGTGTTTTTATTTTCTAATTCATCAGGATATATGAAATCTAAATATTCACTAATTTTCACATCTTTGGTGCTGAATTTGTTTATGGAATAACTATGGTACAAAACAAAATATGTGAAATTATAATTAACAATATATTCATATCTGACACTTCCAGTTTTTGAAAAACAATATAGATCTTTTAGGCGTGCTTTGAGATTACTATGCAGAATTTTAGTGTATAGGGTTGAAAAACCAAAGGTTTGATTGATGATACTGCTGAAAGTGATTTAGACTGTAAATTTTCTATTAGTTCTTTGAATTCTTTAAGATCTACATTTGATTGATCCCATTAATATATATTGACACATCATACCACAGATGGTAAAGTTCCTCAAATAATTATCAAAGAATTGCAAGAAAAATTTCTAACAGTCTTTACAAATGATTTAGTGAACACCTATACCCGAAATAAAAATCTAAATGATATCTTAGTCTATGGTAGATTCCCACAGCTGATATATATGGGATATATCATGCACAAAACGAATATAATATTTGTGTACATATACAAGCCCTAATTTCAAATAAACATATAACTAAAGTTTAGAAAGGATACTTTCTCCATTCAATTACATAGCAAAATACGTACTTTTTAATAGGTTCAACTTCTGGCAAACCAGATGGACAAAAGAAAACACTAAAATCTTCAAAATATATTTCACCAGGCTCTAGAAGCAGTAACGAAAATCTGAAAAAAAAATTGAAACTCAAATTAACTTGATTTCTGAATAAATAAGACTAGACCTCATGTAGAAGACAGTATGACACTATGCATTGTCGTCTGGGTCTTTCTAAGTTTGATGAATTAATAAGTCCTTAGTTTAAATTATTCTTTTAATACTGGTGTTATTATTACTACATAGGCTTCACGTTGTGTTTTGGTTAATATTACACCTTCAAGCTTCAGTGAGTTATTTGGCAGCAGCAGAATCCAACTCCAAGTTTCTAAATCTACTCCAACCTTGGGTCACCCTCCATCCTGCATCACATGCTCAGTTTGAGACCATTCAGTGGTCATAACTTCCAATAAAGAGGGGGCACACACGCACCCCTCCTCCCTACCAGGGGAGGAGGTCTGGAGAGTTCTCTGTTTAAAGCTTAATGCAACTGCCAGCCAATTGACAAATTGTGGATGCAAGACTGCCTGCCACTGAAGATATGAATGCGCTTAAGCCTCAAACGCAAACAGTTATGACAGTTATGACAGTTATAGTTATGAGGTTCCTGTAGTTGTGAAGATTGAGAAAGTAGAAAAAAAGTGTGCATCAAGAGAATTTGTTTCCCACCCAAACAACAAATTGTGTAATCAATAAAGGTTTTTTCAGATCGTGAACGTCATTAAATGAATGCTTCTCAATGTGATTTTCAATAAATAACCAAAATTTTGACAATTGTCGATTTTTAGAATGCAGAATTGGATTTTCGAAACTCAAGTCTATCTATATGTATTTCTTGGAATGATTTTGAAATTACTGAGTTCTACGCGTCAAAATACATACATTTTGATATAAACTTCACTCGAATATATAGTTTCCCTGACATTCTAGGTGGAAAATAGCTTGTTTCCCTTTAAATTTGGTGGCCGTCTTGAAAGATAGCCTGTCAAGCAAGGTAATACAGACCCACTGGCAGCTTTGATTTTGAATAAAAATATTTGGCAGTACAATTATTTGGGGTGATACTGAACAATATTGCCCAGTTTTGTTAAAATCCAGCAAGATTCGTACCTTGTAGTGTTTACGTGCTAAAAATTGAAAGCTTTTTCAAGAACAAGGAAAATAACTAATACTAAATTTTTTTTGAATTTTCTGAATTTCAAAAGCGGTTCATCCTAGGTTGATAACAAATATTTACACCATGTTTCGTCAAAATCTTTCAAGAATTGTGCCTTCTAGAGTGTTTACAAGCTGAAAGATATCTTGCCAGGCAAGGTAATATACGGTCCACTGGTAGCTTTGATTTTGAATAAAAATATTTAGCAGTACAGTAACAACCAACAGTATGAAATATTTAACCTTCAGTCATACACTTCTTTTGAATTCTTTAGGGTGATACTGAATAATATTGAGTATGAGTTATTGCCTTTGTTCTTGAAAACATGTTCAATTTTTAGCTCGTGAAAACTCTAGAAGGCTAATATTCAATCTTCAGCGCGGGACTGAATAATTCGTCAAAATCCAGCAAGAATCATGCCTTTTAGTGTTTAAGAGCTAAAATTGAAAGTGTTTTCAAGAACGAGGTCAATGACTGCAATGAAACATATTTTAATTTTAATGATTTTCGATAGGGTTCATCCATGGGTGATAATAAAAATTTCACAAAATTTCGTCAATATCTGTCAAGAATTGTGCCTTCTAGAGTGTTAATGAGCTAAAAATTGAACGCATTTTCAAGAACAAGGGAAATAACTCATGATTTTCAATAGGGTTTATCCTTGGGAGATAACAAACACTCATGCCAAGTTTCGTCAAAATCTGTCAAGAATTTTCCCTCCTAGAGTGCTTAAGAGCTAAAAATTGAATGCGTTTTAAAAACAAGGGCAATAACTCATACTAAATATTTTTTCGATTCTTCTGATTTTCAATAAGGTTCATCCTTGGGTGATAACAAACATTGCCAAGTTTCATCAAAATTCATCAAGAATTGTGCCTTCTAGAGTGTTTACGAGCTAAAAATTGAACGCTTTTTCAAGAACAAGGGCAATAACTCATACTTAATATTTTTCGATTCTTCTGATTTTCAATAGGGTTCATCCTTGGATGATTACGAACACTTATACAAAGTTTTGTCAAAATTTGTCAAGAATTGTGTCTTGTAGAGTGTTTACGAGAAATTGTGAACGAATTGACGGACGGGCGGACATGGGTGACAGCATTATACGCCCCCCCATTTCATGTGGGCGTATAAAAATGAACGGGTTTTCAAAGGCAATAATTCATATTTAATATTTTTCAATTCTTCTAATTTTCAATAGGGTTCATCCTTTGGTGTTAATCTAAATGTATGTTTTAAAATAACCTGGTTGATGATGAGTAGACAATAAACTCCATTGGCTATTAAATGATTCTTGAATTGTAATTTTAATACCAGTACAAAATATAAATACAAAAGAATTTAACTCCAAATGTATTTTAATCACTTTGTAATGAACATTCCTTTGTAATGAACGTTCCTTTGACACCCGAGTAAATCTGAAAAATCTGTAACCGTAAATAATGCACACAAAAACCAAAAACAACAAGTTGGCACAACGCAGACACCACAACATTAAGCCGTAATAACGTGTTTCTCACAACAATACTTCTAGCTTATTTAGGCATGTACATATTTCTTCAATAATAGCTTTTCTTATACACCTGATATCTTCAATGTTAATTTTGAAGTAATGAAATACTTGCATTTGTCATATATATATTTCCATGACATCGAGTCTACATTTTCAAGGTTGCAATTTAAGGCTCAGTTTGCAGTCTTTCTTACGAAAATGGTTATTTATAATTTGTTAGTCTCTTGTTGCAACTGGAAGTGTTGTATCTCAAACATTAAATGATGAAGCATGAGTTTTTGCCGGAATATAATTACCTTCTTCTCTACTCCCCAAAATGTTGTCTACTATCCATCTCAGTATAATTTTCCTTATTCAGCACAATCTGTGACTACGATATGTCCGGCATATAGAGACAAATCAACAGCCCTGCTACATATACATTCTGCGCTGATTAATTTAATCAAATTAACCGACTCTCATTGTTTGAGTTAAGTTTTATTCATTATTAGAAAATATATGATGTATCGCAAAAGAACAGCCCTACTGCCCTCAGAGCCATCTTTAATACATTGTTGCCTGCAGGTAGTATCTTGATACCACCTTGACAGTCCATTTTTCTGTATTCATTTGTCAGTAACTGTCAGTTGAAGGATATGGACAGAAATGTTCGTACATTAATATTAACAGTCATTTGATTTGATTACTGAAAACTATCACAAGCTCTTGTTGGGTGCAGTCATGATGAATTGGTGACTAGGCGGCTTGACATGAGCGTGTCTACTAGAACTTTGTCACCTTTTCAAGATTTTTTGATTCTTCTGATTTTCAATAGGGTTCATCCTTAGTTGATAACAAACCACTCACATCAAGTTTCGTCAAAATCTGACAATAATAGAACCTTCTAGAGTGCTAACAAGCAAAATTGGAACGAGTTTTCAAGAACAAGGGCAATAACTCATATTAATTATTTTACGATTTTTCAATGGGGTTTATCCTTGAGTGGACAGACGGACAGAAATGGGTGACGGCAAAAAAAAAAAACCTTTTCAAGTGGGCGTATAAAAACAAGGTTCTAGATCTACTTTTAATTCTTTGATTTATTTTATGCAAGCATTGGTAACTTAGAATCACATCTGAGTCACGCAAACACGACATTTCACAGTGAAAAGAGTGCCCTTGTTATTATTAACTATTATTCCAATTCAAATTTATCATCACATCTGCTATCATTAGCAAAATAACCTAGTTTATACAACTTGTCATAGATTAATTAAAAGAATATGAAACTTTCATTTTTTACAACTTTAAGTAATGTTAACAACATTTATTTGTGTCATCAGTACAAATACATTAATTGAAAGAATTACTTGAAAACAGATCTTTTCATACATGTGAATCTGGAATCTAAAATAGTATCCTGCCACCAGTGGTCCATTTGACTATCTTGTATTATTTTACCGATATCTAAATTGAGAGTCAATTGGTAGGTAAGGTAAGGTAATCAATTATGATTTTCTACCGATTTCTCATCCCAGACAGTGAGTTCATTAATTAGTGTATTGTATTATTTTTTTACCGCTAGTTGTTATCTGATTTGTATACTGATAGGATTTATTGTTTATTGTATTATAACTTTAGTAAAAAGATTTCCTTGAGTTCATGGCTTGAAATAAGCGGCAAATATCCGGTATAATCTCGTTTGAGTTGGACATTTTTATCCGGTACCGTAGTGGATTGACATTTCTCGTCTCGGAAAGCAAAAAAGTTTGGAACAACAATAACATAGTCTAGATCATACAGATTACTAGTACCTAGAATAGACATGCAAGGTCTGGATGATGTCGTCAAAACACAAATGAACGGTGTTGACACAATTAGGCCTAGTCCAAGTCGTTTGTCCGAATCTCTTAGTAATTTTCATTCTATAATTACTTAATATAAATAGGAGATGATCTTTCATATAATCCTACATATTACAATTATGTCAAATCACAGTTTAATAATTTTATTTCAAATATTACATAAGAATTTGTTACAAAGTTATAGACTGAACTTGAGGAAATTGTCAGGCAAACAAACAAACATGTTATGATTAGCGTGTGTATACTTAAAACCAAAGTAGAAAAATAATGAAAGAAATTCATTGGCTGATATAAATAGAAATCTTGTACTGTCCAATCAGATAAGTTATTGCTCTTTTTTCAGTTCCAAGAACATTTCATCTATCATTCCCGGAGAGGCGTTGAAACTATAAATACTTTCTATTTGAATGACGTAAACTATTTTCAGCTAGTTGTTAATCTGTATTTCAGGTGAGAAAACGGCGAATATCAGTCCCAAATTGACGGGTTTTAAATGAATTTTTTTCAATAGAAAATATCGTATTTTTGCAATGTCCGGTACAAAATTTCAAATGTCTGTCACTAATTGAATTTTGCCACAAAAAATGTCCAACACGATTTTTGGAGTTATTTCAAGCCTTGTTTGAGTTGAATTAGAATGTATACGGGACATAAATTCTTGCATCTATTTCCTTTCCATATTTTTGAAATCTAAAGTAATAATAACTAGATCCGTGGACGGGTCCGATGCAGTGTGTGTACAACCTGACACAGCGGCAAAACGTTGCATTTTAAAGCCATAGTGGGAAAAAAAAAAGAATGTTAAAATTTGATAGTAAAAATTCGATAAATCATTGATGTTCGGTAGTGAAAAGTCGCATTGATTTGATAACATTGGGTAGTAAAAAGTGTTATCAATGGGTAGTAAAAAGTTGATTTTTATAATCGCTGTAAAACTGATTATAAACACCGCACAATACAAATGAAGATATATTTGAATAGATCTACTCGAACACAATAACTTTTGTTCTGGTCAAATAAAAGTAATATGAACCTTTGAAGTTTCGAAAATTGCTGTTTTCGGACGTCTGCAAAACCGAAAGTATATATCGGACATCAAAGTAAGAACGGTCATCCTAGGTCAAAGACCTTTGACCAGGCAGAAAAAAACAATATTGCTGGGGCAGTGAAGAAAGGGAAAAAACCAACAAAGCCAAAGGCAAAGAGAAGAAATGAAGGAAAAGTAAAGCAAGATGAAGAATGGATTGATGTCACTGATGATGATCCAGGACCCCGTTGAGCTTCATTTGTTCCTCACGGTGAACCAGGACCTAGGAATGTTAAACATTTAATGAATGATAATGTTGAGCCCTGTGAATTTTTCAAAGTATTATTTTCTGAAAATATTGTTCAAGATCTTGTGACAGAAATAAATAGGAATGCCACTAAAAAAAAATTAAAAATATGCCAAATATGAAGAGACATTCCAGACTACGTGAATGGAAAGATACGCATAAGTAGGAAATTTATACATTCCTCGGAATTCTTATGAACATGGGAAGTATACGTAAACCGTCAGTGCAGTCTTACTGGAAAACCGATTGGATATCCAACACCCCTTTTTTTGCAAATGCAATGAACAGAGACCAATTCCTTCTTTTATATCACACAATGCTGCGCGTGTGCCAGACTGATACAAATAATAGAAATCGTGGTGACAAAATTCAGCCTCTAGTTGATAAATTAGTTTGTAAGTTCCAGCATTATTACATACCATACCAAAATATTTCTGCTGACGAAAGCATTATTCAAAGGCCGAGTAATATTTCGTCAGTATATACCAAAGAAACCAACAAAATGGGGGATCTTAGCCAGAACTTTAGACAATGGAGAAACTGGATATATGTCTAAACATTTATTATGGCAGTACCAATGATGTTGATGTAACGGAAGCAGGTCTGAACAAAACATCAAGGTCAATATTGAAATTCTGTGAACCTTGTCTTGACAAAGGATATCGTGTACGCGGATCGATTGTATAATTCTGTTGATTTAGCACGTGTGCTATTCTCGAGGAAAACTTGCTTGACAGGAACTGTAATGCTAAACAGGCGTGGTATACCGCAAGAATTGTGAGGTAAGAAATGGAAGATAGCTTGCCAGGCAATGTAACTTACGCCCACTACCAGCTGTCAGAATGATAACAAAATCTTTAGTGGCTAAATAATAAATTTTAAAATATTCTTAAAATCATCCATAAGTCAAGGCAAAAACCTGTTCATCAAGTTATCATGAAATTCAAACATGAACAATGTCTCATCACTGTACACACAAGGGCAATAACTCGGAAACTGTTGATTTGATTATTATCAATTTCTAACTTGACCAAGATCTCATAATGCATATCTAGTTTCATCAAGATTGGATAAAAACTGAAGTCTCCATCGTGCCTGCAAGTCGAATTTGACAAGTTTTTAACTAAGTCAAGGTCAATAACTCCGAAACCCTTCATCCGATTATTACTAATTTTGAACTTGACCGAGATCTCATCAATATATACATGAATACCAAGTTTCATCAAGATCGGATAAAAACTATAGCCTCTATCGCGTCTACAAGAAATGTGAACGGACGGACGGTAAATTTTCAGATCGATTGAAATAAAATTGTAGAAGTTAAAAAAATGCTAAAAGTAAAACAAAAAAAGTCAGCGACAAAAGTCAAAATCTTACATTTTTTAAAGTGCTGTCTTTTAGTCATTAGTTTAAAGTAATGAACAAAAGAAATATGTTCAAAATACATTTAGAATTAGAGCAGGAATTCGAAATAACTAATGAATGGTTAACGTCCTACGTCATTTCCAGTTGGTTGAAAATGCGTCATTTTACATTCACCTAGTAGCGACACGCAAAGTATGACAGACGATCATGACAGATAATGTGTGACACATGCAGTTTCGGCTGGGGAGCGTGACCAGAAGTAGACAAAAATAAAAATAGCCATTTCTAAAACAAAGCAGTGTGTTCAAAGAACGCACTGGAAAAAAAAAATAGTCATTTGAAGAACGCACTGCAATTATCTGCATTCTGGATTGATTAGTTGTTGAATAACAATTGTAAACAACCTACAGATTACACTGTCCAGTTTTATTATCATCTGGCTATAAACATGTCACATTTAGATTAAGTATCCCATTTGCGCCAAGACTCCTGTAAAAACATTTCTATTTTACTGTCAATACAGTGTATATTTTCCATCTGAAAACCTTAAAATCCTTGACAACTTGTTTAATATTCTGTACAAGATTTCAAAGACATATACCAACAAACAAATTTGATCAAATTTGGATGAGAATTGAGGCCTGTATCACGTTCACAAGCATATTTAACCTTTAATTCATCAATTAACATTAAAAAAAAATCAGATACAAACTGTAGCCTCTATTGCATTCACAAGACACTTCTGTGTATCAAGGTCTGAAACCAGCCACATCGTTAGGATGGGAACCACTTTGGCTGGGCCCTGGCAAATGAGAATTGAGCCCCAGCACGTTATCACTGTCCGAAACATCTGCTTCTATTCCAGCCTCTGATGGATATTTCGACAGTTGTCAGGTGGAGTAGAGTCAGAAAAAAAGACCCTGTGAAATGGAGATTTTCCACACCTCTGAATATGGGTTTTAGTAACATAATATTAAATTACCTTATGATAATTGTAAACGTAACCTTCATTTTATTAGTATCACGTAACCTTTGAACCTTTCGCTACGTACACAGTATTAAATGGCTGAGACGTGACTTAAATGGTGTAGGGAGAAAATGATGGTATGACTTAACTACAAACACATTCATCTTTCCAAATATCTGGGTATCGGAGATATCTAAAAAAGGTTTAAAACCCCTGCACCGGCACATATACAGAATGTCTCCATGTAACCTACATCCTGTCCATCAGAATAGAAACAGATGTTTCAGTCTAGAAATCACTCAAAAATAAAATATCTATAGCACTATAGATTTATTTCATCAAAAAACGTTTTGTCTCAGATTGCTGGAAATAGTGTTTGGGGGCTTTTAATCCATAAAAATACTTGTGGGAGGACACCCCTCGGATTTCTGAAAATGGTGCAATTTGAAAATTGCATATCAAATGTGTTTCCAGACTGCATTGTAACCACAGAAGATAATTTTGGAAGGTGAGTTGTGGTGGTTCACAATCGTTCTCAAACCTTTCTTAATTTCTTAAAATTTTGAGATGGTCGGAACTAGTTGGTGGCAGAGAAGCTTACTGCAAAAACAAAAAGATGATTGGATTCAGGATATTTGGCCTCTTGGTATCGTCAGAAATGAGCTCTCAGGGCATAAAGATTTCCTTAATGGAAAACCCCCACTTGTAGTTCTTCACGGTGATGGTCTACAACATTTGACAAATTTCAGGCCCAAGGCACTCCTGGCGACAGGGCGGTTTGAAATTCTGTTATCTTTTGTCAAATTGTACCCAAAATCGAACTTGTATTAGATCCCTCGGATATAAAACTAGGCCTACATACCAAATTCTATAAAAATTGGATAAAAAAAGTGGCCTCTATGGCCTTCACAAGCTAATGATAAGTTTGGCTAATCATAAGAAATATTGGATTGCAAAAGGGATCATTGCAAACTGCAATGCGATACGGCTTAAATTCAACCCTGTTTTCAGTACAATCAACCCACGTCGCCAGGAATGAATTGATTGTGGGGCTCAGATTTTGTTCTCAGAAAATTTAAAGCATTAATGGCCCAGAGAACTCATTTCTGACAATTTTGAAGTGCCAAAAACATATCGAAATCTGTATCTTTTTGATTTTGTACAAAGACACTGTATTTTTATCTTGTACAAAGACTTCGTAAATGAATCAATCTCTGTTGAACTGAAGAAGGTTATGCTGGTGCTTAATTCTTACCCAGCCCCCACAGGCCCCAACCTAACAATGGGGTTGAGTACAATACTTCTTAGTTTTAAGTGAATGATGCATTTTCCGCCTCAGCTGAAGGTCTTCCCTCCTCTCCCCCGCCCCAAAAAAAAGTAGCCATAGTAGTAGAGAATTATGCCTGATACAAATACAATGCAATGACAGACCACAATCATCAATAGTTCAACAGAAGGGGGAGGGATGTGAAAGTGCTTTCTGAATTATCACATCACAAACAATTCAAACTGAAATTCTTTAAATACATGTCATTGGTTTAAGCATGTATATACATATATTGATTGTAACTTCTCATCTAGAATAAAAACATTATCCTGTGAAAATGATGGTCTGCATTTCGTTCGCTATTGGACTGGAAACTCCCCTCTTCAAGGCCTAATCAAGTTTCTGAACAACTTATTTAGTAAGATTTTTCATTGTTGTGATTATTCGCCAACCAGGAGACTTTTGTCCAAATGACTTTCATTAAACATCAAATGTCTCACCTTTCTTGACCAAGAGTATCAGTTTCTAAAAAAGCCATGTTTCACCTGCGAAAATTCGAGCAACACTTTTTTTTACTACAATTACTTCCCCTTAAATATCATATGACATGTCATTAAACAATTTTTTCCGAGCAGGCTGATCTGTGCACGGCAAAACTGCTATTCATTGTAAACCATGCTAAGCGTTTATAGATTTTTGTCTAATCAACAAGTATTGTCAAATCCAGGAGACTGAATGGAAGACAACGCTTTGTGTAAATATTTTTATTAAGACGAAAATTTGAAAGCGGGGCTGTTGTCACTATAATGATTGACTGGTCACGTGACAATAACATGTTGCCATTTTTAAATAAACTATTTTTCTAGTTTTTCACAGAATTGATTTATCTTGAGAAATTAAAAATTGATAATTGATGTTATATAACACGCGTCATCATTTTCTATGCAGATCCTTACTGAGGCAGCAGGTCCAATGTGTAGACATACTTTTCGACCGGGCGACCCATGTTGATAGTGTAGCAGACGATATTTTAGGCCGAAACACCTGACTCTATTCCAGCCTCTGATAGCTATTTTGGACAGATGTCGGCTAGTGTAGAGGCAGAAAAATAGGCCGTTAAATGGGTACATTCCACATGTCTTTTAAACCTATTTAAATACCTCGAATCTGCAAAACCAAGGTAGGCTATATTTAGAAAGGTGAATATTTTTGTAGTTCAGTCATACCATCAGTTTCTCCCTACACCTAGACATGTCACGTCTCCGGTTCAAACTTTTTTTTTAAATGAAATTGATCTCGCATCGGCCAACTGACCAAAAAGTCAAAGGTCACAGAGTCATGTGATACTAACAAAATGCAAAATGAAATGAATGGAGTTTTACGTTCTACTTTTCTGCACCATGTGGGCTAATGATGACGGGAAACGTCATGCAGGGTGCAATGAGGGAAATTTTGCCAGGATAGCGGCATTAGCTTGCTCTTTTCCGATTTCCAACTGTCGATGGATCTTTAACGTCAGGTCCTTCTTCTTCTGACTCTACTTTAGCCGACAACTGTCAAAATATCCATCAGAGTCTAGAATAGAGGCAGATGTTTCGGACTAACGATATTTTTTACCTATTTTTAACGATAGGTTGGTTGTGTTGACAATTTTAAAGCTTTACTTGTATAATCAAGTTATCACTAATTGCCCTGCTTTGTTTTCCTTAATCGAAGCTTTCTAGAACAAACTGAAAATGATAGAGCTTTTCTGATTGACCAAACATCTTAAAGTGGGCTGGAATCAAAAATGAATATCTAACATGAAATCTTTGCTAAACCGGAAGTGACATATTGCAGATTGTGCATAAAACTGGTTTTGGAGGCTGTAGAGCTTATTTGTGGACCAATTTACTGTGGGTTTTCTTTTTTTTATATTATACGATATAAAATATTTTTATATCATTTTCTACAACTGTAATTAAATAAAGGATTATTATTATAAAAAGTATAAAAATGTTGTCTTAAATGGTGAAACAGAAATATTGAATATGGCTGCCGGATGCTATGCATAGCTAGAACATTACTACAGTCACTCTTCTTGCTATCAAAATATAGTCACCCAAATACTACAATTACCCTAGATAATAATCCAAACACACATACCTGAAGAAAAATTGTTCCAAAGATGGTAGAACGTGGTAGAAAAAGATTGAAAAGAAACCACTCTGGTGTCCAAGTGAAACTATAGAGATCTTAAGTGATGAAAACTCATCAGCAACTCACTGGACTGACTACCCTGAAAACAGTTCAGCCATTATCCAGTGAGATCAGTTTAAGACAGAGCAATAGTTATTGTTAGTAAGGCCAGTATTTAGTAATTATGTGCTCTTTAAAACACACAGATGCATTATAAAACCAGACAACAATTAAATAATTGGTTAAAAATGCACCCTATCACATACTCCCTCCCTACGGGAAAATGTCTCTTGACATTAAAATAAAACTACCAAATTACAAAAATCTAAAAACCATACTTTAAATTTAAAGCATCAGCAACTAATTTTCTATGATCAACGGACAAACTACCAAACTCATCCGAATGTAAGTATTCTTGAAATCTGGATGGCATTTGTCTCCTTCTGGACACACGAGGTTCTGGAGATGCTTTCTCTACTGCTTCATCACTGTCAGAATCTTGAAGCTCTGGCTCCAAGGGATCTTCATTCTGACAAGACTCGCTATCATCAACTGATAAAACTTCAGTGGGGCTAGCTGAGGGATTACAAAGGGTATCCCTCACCACATAGGCAATATCATAATAATCCATTGTGTCCTCCTCGATATCCTCCTCTAATGCTAATAGTGGTGGTTATGCAGGGGTGCGTCTTCGTCGAGGTTGCGACACCGGAGCTGGTGTTGTAGGCTCTGGTAAATCTATAGGTACAGACCCTATAAGAAGTAAATGGTTGCGGTGCAAATTCCCAACATTTTCCGCTTTCCATAATAACTTCATATACGGAACATCTGGGTTTGGCTGGCTGATGATGTTGAATACATCTTTACTCACAGTGAAAGCTTTCGTTATAAATCGAAAGCCGCTTCAACAGAATTGTATTAGAAGAACTTTTTAGTAATAACAGGGTACATACTGTGGATATCGTAATCAAAAAGTTCCCGTCGAAAAATAATAGTTCTTTCTTGTTTTATAAGTTTTTAAAAGGGACTCTTACTTGTCAGTAGTGAATGTGTGAATTTGGAGGGAATTGACGAGAATATAATTTTGGGATAAAAAAAAATCTTCTTTCAGCAAAATTTGACCTCTGCTGGAATCGATTGTGTTTTTGTGATTGTGTCCTGCAACAGGACAAAATTATTAGCCTAGACAGAGAGTCAGAAAACTAGCAATAACAGATAAGGCAAGTCATTCACCAACAATCGACCATATTTAATTTCTAAAGAAATTAAGGTCACACCATGGTTCTATTTCATCAAAGATAGCTTGCTTGTAACATACGTCCACTACCAGCCGTCAGAAATGATAGCAAAGTCTTAATAATGAACTTAAAATTGTACTCATCAATATATACAAGCATACCAAGTTTCATCAAGATCGAATAAAAAATGTAGGCTCTATCTGCATACAACAAATGTGGGCGGACGAACCGACCGACGGACGGACGGACGGCCGGACGGACAGGGGCGACGGCAATATACGTCCACATTTACATGTGGGCGTATAAAAACTACTGAACAGCTTAGAAAATGTACCCCTGCCATTCCCGATCACACCTAGCAATCAATTACAACCCAACTGGCTGATTGTTATACTTTTCAGTTTTTTGAACCAATGCTTCATTGATTTGTAGTGTAGCAGGAGGACTAGGGCTTCTAAATACAATCCAGTGACACAAGGCCCGATCCGGCCTACATACTTTCCAGGTTTCAGAATGCTGTGAAATACGAGGAAATAAGCGAGAGAAAAAGAACACAAGTTTCAAATTATAACAAGTCATAATCAATTACTACATCATGTCTACAACAATTAATACCCTACACCCTTACAAATTTACAGGATTTGTGGATAGAGCGAAGTCCATAAAAAGTCATTCTTTCATAAATAAATAGTTTTCATTAGTTATATATTCCCCAAACCACCCTATAGTTCACTTATAGGATGGAAATTCAAAACAATATTTTTAGAATATGTCTTAATTTGACCAACAGGAAGGAAAATATTTTATGTAAAAAGTTCCTATCAAGCAACATTTTACTTGGATTAAATCATCTATTTACTGATTCAGTTCAGATTTATTTTTCTTATTTCTATAAAAAAAAAAATCATTTCATATATTATAGGTACTTAGATGTTTCATCATTACATGACTACACTTTTAGTATTTTTGGAAAGAAAGTGTATTAAATTTAACATGTAGTGTTAATTTTTTTTTGTTCATGCAAAAATTGATAACATTCATGAGTATATATAAATCATATGAAACATAAGCTTATTAATGCTACTATTGGCCCTTGAAAAACATGTTGAAATTTTATGTTACATTTGTTATTGTAATGATAGTCTAATTGCATAAGATAGACCCAGGGGGACTCCATTTAGTTAAGCGAGTCCGACCATAACGAATGCCTATAACCCCGATCTGAAGTTAATAAAATATGTAATACACGCTGGTTATAATTCAATAAATCTAAGCTATAACACTTAGATATACATTCTAAAGAAGAATAAAACATGGTGACAGAAGCGTTTTAACATGGAGAAACTGTCGGAATCAAAGCCATTGCTGTTAAGTGGTACAGTGGTGTAACCTATTTTCGTGGATATAAGGATTCAACACCGAATTTCGTCAAAGTTAAAAAAACGAAAAAAGTTTTTTTATGTCTTAGATGTTTCCTCAGATATTCTACAAAATAATCAAAATTGGTTTATTTCGATTTTCTTTATGAATCCTTCACTTTGACCCATATTTCATGAGCAACCAACTCGGCAACGGCGGCAGAATGCGTCACCTATTTTCGTGTACAATGTTTGATACATAAATAAGTCGAGAAAAACACGTTGTATGGATACCGGGTGGTATAATCAACTTCTCTTAGTATTTATCTTTAATATCAATTCATTATAACTAGTGACAATTCCTTCAAAGAACCACGATTTTAAAAAAAATAGTGACTCTCAAAATATGATACGTAGCGTGATTTATTGCTAAAAGTCACTGAAACAACATAAGAATATGGTCCACTTTGTGTTCCATAGAAATTTTCTGCCGACACGGAATCCGGTAGTTCATCACGTGACTTCATTCGTTGGATTATATTCTAGCAGACGACACTTGGAATTCCGATTACCGCTAGGGATTATAATGAAATTCGGCCGATAAAAAATGGTGACGTTTGGTAATAGCTGAAATCCGCCATTTTGTATTTGTCAAAGTATACATTAATATATTTTACCTTGCTTGAAATTACTGGATTCATTCTACTAGCTGATATTGTACAGAAAACCCATGTTCATTAAAACAAACTAATGCGGAGGTCGCACAAGGTCGCTCGCGTAAATTATTAATCATTTCCGAAAATCCACGAATAATAGGTTTCCACGAAATTAGGTTACTTGACTGTATAATTAACTTCTCTTAGTATTTATCTTTAATATCAATTCATTATAACTAGTGACAATTCCTTCAAAGAACCATGATCTTAAAAAAAATAGTGACTGACAAAATAAGATACGTAGCGTGATTTATTGCTAAAAGTCACTGAAACAACATAAGAATATGGTCCACTTTGTGTTCCATAGAAATTTTCTGCTGACACGGAATCCACTAGTTGATCACGTGACTTCATTCGTTGGACTACATTCTAGCAGACGACACTTTGAATTCCGATTACAGCGTAGGATTATAAGGAAATTCGGCCGATAAAAAATTGTGACGTTTGGTAATAACTGAAATCCGCCATTTTGTATTTGTCAAAGTATACATTAATACATTTTACCTTGCTTGAAAGTACTAAATAATCAAAACAAACTGATGCGGAGGTCGCGCAAGGTCGCTCATGTAAATTATTAATCGTTTCCGGAAATCCACGAATAATAGGTTTCCACGAAATTAGGTTACTTGACAGTAATAAAGCGTAAACTGGATCAAAGATTTGAGAATTATCTAGAAGCTACATAAGAAAAATTTGACAAGGCTCAAACATGCATCCTTTTACATGTAATCGGAGAAGAGGCTTTAGAACTGTATAACAATTTTGTATTTGATGATGAAGCTGACAAATATAAATTGAAACCTGTACTTGATTTGCAACTTATTGTTTACCTAAAAATAATGAGGCGTTTGAAAGGTATAAATTTTTTACCTGTGATCAAAGGAAAGATGAGAAAGTAGACGAATATTTAAATGAGCTGTTGACAAAAGCTAAAACATGTAATTTTGGTGGACTAAAATATTCCCTTGTCCGAGATCGAATGGTCTATGGAATTCTTGATGATAATCGTAGAGAAAAACTGTTGAGAATTGATGATTTGACTTTAGAGAAGACCATGTCATTCTGTCATGCTGCGGAAACTACAAAAGATCCGCTTAAAGAAATGAGTGAGATCGAAGAAAGAGGCGGTAATGATACAGAAGAGGTCTATGCTCTTAAACGTTACGGAAGTAAATTTAAAACTGAATAAAAGTAAATGTATATTTGGTGTGAATGAACTAACATTTATTGGTGATGTAATATCTGCTGATGGGTTAAAACCTGATCCCTTGAAAGTCCAAACGATTCAAGAATTTGAGCAGCCAACATGTTAAAAAGATGTTCAACGTCTTATTGGTATGGTAAATTACTTAGCACGATTCTTACCTTATTTATCAACGGTAACAACATCATTACGACAACTACTTGATAAAAATATTGAATTTGAATGGACTAAAACACAAGAAGAATCTTTTAACAAGATAAAGTCTTTATTGTCAACACAACCATTCCTGAAATTCTACGATCCTGATAGACCTATATTAATATCAGCTGATGCTTCGAAATCCGGTCTAGGAGCGGTGTTCTACAAAAGTATGAAAACCAATGGTGTCCTATTGCACATGCATTCAAGAGCTATGCTTAGTGCTGAAACCAGATATGCTCAAATGGAAAAAGAGACATTAGCATTAACTTTTGCCTGTGAACGATTTCATCAATATTTATATGACCAGAACTCCCAAGCTGAGACTGATCATAAACCATTAGTGTCAATTTTTCAAACACCTTTAAATGGCTGTCCAATTAGAATTCAAATATTTCTATTAAGGCTCCAGAAATATTCTTTAAAATTAGTGTTTACACCAGGAAAAGATATGTTTATATCAGACTGTCTGTCTAGAGCCTATGTGACAAAACATAATAAAGATGACATCTGTGGTGAAAATTGATGTTTATGTGGACATGATTGTTTCTAATCTCGCTTATACTGATGAAAGATTAGAAAATACTAGAAGTGAAACACAAAAAGATAAACAATTTCAAATATTAACTTAGCAAATTACTGATGGTTTTGCTGAAAACAAAAAAGATTTTCCAAAAGAGCTTACTGAATTTTGGAATATTCGTCATGAACTTATATACGTTAAAGGACCAATTTTCAAAGGAGAACGCATTGCTATTCCTACAAGTTTAAGAAAACTAATGTTGTCTAAGATACATACTGGACATTTAGGAATAGAGAAGTGTTGTAGACTAGCACTTGATACAATGTACTGGCCCAGAATGAATCAGTGCATAAAAGAACTAATAAATTCATGTCCTACATGACTAAAATACAGA